CCAGGAGGTTTGCGACAAATCGTAATTTGATGTCCTCCGTCAACAATAACTCATGACTTGCGGTCCTCCGGCAGAGCGGTAGATGCCTCGCAGAAAATGTCCATGCGCCCTGGAACACTCAGGATGAAGGACATGAGCTACAGTCTAAACTTCCGTCGTATCCCCCTTAACAACTCCGTTTAGACTATAGCTCACATGAAGTTTGGTTGCTAGGCTAACGGGCGTCTGTCGCTTGACAAGGACTAATCGAGAATCCCGATGTTCTGGTCGTTAAGCAACAAAAGCTTGATGTAGACTCGTGATCAAGAAACCTCCTCCTTTAGTAGCCAGAATATTCGGATCCTTATGATAATCCTTATAAGGGCGGTATTACTCATGTGTATACACCCTCAAGTATGGCCCACACTACAATTGATACAAACCAGGGTGCTTGGGAGTAACCTGCCTCTGGTCAGCAAGGAATGAAAGAACGGATCCTTATAGTAGTCTCTATATAAGCCCCCCATGATACAGGAGTTTCCATGTACCATTCCACTCCTTGGTTCCCCACTGACCAGTGGCAGCAGGTAACAAGGGCCAGGGGGTTAGGGATGAGGAGGTTTAGGGTTTAACGTTTAAGGATTCAGTAGAGTACCCCAAGTTCTTGTGCACCATAATTAGACCCGACGTACCCAAAGCACTCCAGTGGTACCGTAGACCCTGGATACCCAAATCATTCGTCTTGGTACCCCCAAGAACCTAGATATCCAAAACAATCCCTAAACCCTGCACCTTCAACACCAGACCCATGACACCGAATGGGAGTGGCTGCACATCAACGTGTTGGTTAAAAATTTAGGGTTTAGAGTATCAACCCCCTTAAGTAGATGGGGTATATGGGGATGTTTCTCTGATATTCGGGAATCCGACATTCTATCTACTCCACAGGGACAAAAACCTGATAGTCATTGATAGTTACTTGGTCTTCTAAAAATCAACCCCCTTCAACCCCTATACAAACCCATCTTCACCTAATTGTGCATTTTCTGTTCCTTTAGAACAGTACCCGGCGCCTTCTGCAGGAAGGGATGCCTGTCGGGACTTCAATCGTTTCAGGGTTAGGATGTAGAAGCCCTAAACCCTGCACCCTAAGGGTTTAGAGCTTAGGATTCAGGGAGCCGAGCATGCTAACCTGAGTCAAGTTACCCCAAATCCGGGGCAACGTTGCCCTAAAGATTGGGCACCGTTACCCGATTTCACAGTCTACTGGCTTTCAAGCAAATCAGGCCACACGGCTCAGCGCATGGGGTTTAGGTTGGATACTGCCAGACTCAGACTGTTTCTGTGTGTAGCCCTTCATGGTACCCCCCCCATTATAGAGAGCTAATGCATGTGGCCCTTAGGAGTACTCCCATTATAGACCGTTAGTGTGGGACCCTCTTTAATAAGTAAGGGTCCCCCCCTAACATTAGGGCCCTCCGAAAAACATAAGTTAGGGATCCTCAGTGCGGCCCCCTGGGTTCCCACGGTTCTGAGGTCCCCGTGGATTGATCTTAAAGGGATTGTTGAGAATCCTTCCTACATTTTTAGGCCCCCAAAATCAAAACTCATTATAAGGGGCCTTGCAACCATTGCCCTGATCCTGAGTAGGCAGGCCCCAAAGCTCATTTCAGGGGACCCCTTCAATAAACTGCACTTGTGTTTCTGCGCTGTTGGCCGATGCTGGATGCTGCTTGAAGGACCTCACTGCAGGACAAGCCATACTTCAGCTCACCACATGGATGGCTCGGGAGCTCTTGCGAAGTGTTGCGGTGCGAGAATGGCGTCGATCAGCAAGGTGCTGCTTCTCCATAAGGCTCAGAATTCCACCATATCAACTTTCGATCGTCTCTTCCATTTGGCTTTGTTGCTGTAACGGTGCGCCGGCACACCTCCTGCGAAAGAAACGCCTTTCGGAGTCGGATTCGTCTCAATGGTAAAGTGAACGCAGATAGGTCGGTGCGCTCCTCAATAATGCTTCGCAAGGGGCGACCTGATCTTTTGTATCAGCTTGCTTGAACCAGCACGGGAAAGTGTTGATTTCCTCCCCAGGAACCGCCCGCCACCAAGCTTCTCTTCTTCTTCAGAAACCTTGCATGCCTTACATCTCTATAGGGTCCATCAAATACAATGCCTCCGCTGCCTTCTCAATGGTGTCTCTCGCCAGATCTACAGGACTGTAGCTATTGAACGGGGCAACCTGGTAAACCTTCCTGTGGCATCCCACCTTCGACATGCATCCTTCTGTCTGTCAAGACTTGCTCTCAGAGAAAGAAGCCAGGGAAAAACAAGACCTACCGGACCAAGGCACCTTGCCAGACATCCTGCATGATGGTCCTGGAGGCCATGCAGCAGCCCTCCAGGACATCGCGCCAAGGCTTTCCCAGAGCCAGGTCAGCAAGACTCTGAATGGCATCGCCAGCATCTTGGGCAATTTCCCGACAGCAATGACAAACAGCGTGGACGGCTTCCATGATCTCAGGACCGAGGCCCTGCCACTGCAGTTGCTGATGTGCCTGACGCTGGGCGCGCTGCCTCTGAGCCGCTTGGACACGCTGCCTCTTCTGAGCGGAGAAGCGCGGGGGCATGGCCGAAAACAGGGCAAAGACTACTTACGACCCAGAAAAAGGCCGCATTGGAGATCGACTACTTGTCAAGTCGTAAAGCATTAGGGACTGTCCCCCCGCAGGGAAGATCCCAAGTCCTGATCACGAAGCTCAACTATACTGCAACAGCACTGAGGATCTCCATGAAAGGATCAGAATATTTTGACATCTGGGCCAGGCACAATAACAATGTTGTTCCCGCTTTAGTGAAGGTGCCATGTTTGATGTGTTTCGTTGGCTTCCAAAGCTAGGCCACCTGTGAGGTGGGCCTAAAGAACACTGGAAGCCTCCCGATTGCCCTTGATCTCGTCTCCAAACCCCTCACCCTTAACAGGGACCCTTGCGAATTTTCTGATGGGCGTCTAGATTTGGGTTGGGGGGTGAGGGGGAACATCAATTTTGGTCAATGCCACATTGGGGCATCAAGCTTAGAGTTGATAGCTTCAGCTCGTAATCGATTTTGGGGAGCTATGGTTGGAGGCGTGCTCGTAGATGGACTGGTTCCAGAAAAAGTCGATACTTCGTGCTGAGTCGTTCGTTGACATGTAAAGAGGCTCCAAACAGAGACCCACTTTTCCTGAACCTGCACATGAGCAAACAAGACCTCCAAGCCAACTTCAATCAGCATCTCAACCTGAAACGTGATCCAGGAATCCCAAGGTTAGGGTTCAACAAGGCTTGGTTCACAGCACCAAAGACAGGGATGCTGGGTTGCTGTTAAGGAACTTAAGTTCTGTTACCATAGTGGGTATGTTTACTACTTATTGTGGTAAACCCTAAACCCTAAACCCTTCCCCAATACAGTAGCTTAAATTAAGTTCCTTTACAGCAGCCCAGGTTGATGGTTACAGGGGTCTTAGTAACTGGCAATGTTGCCATATTTGGGGGGATGTATTGTCTGGGGATTCCCGTGGATTGAGAGATCCTGCATAAGGGAATCGGAAGGTTTTACCAGGAGCTGAGGAGGAATGGAAGAGTCAGACGTCTACATTGCGCGAGAGAGTTCCAAAAGCAGTTGGGGCTGCAGGGCCTCCCGACGCGATTTTGAAATCTTTCTGGATACCCAAAATGTTTGCAGCATTTGGTGAAAACAAGAATGTACAGCAAATTAGCCCTTGGACTCTCACCCACACAAAGGAAATCATGCGACGGCAAAACAATAAGCCCAGAAATGCCTCCGTGATCGCAGTTGGCACAGCCTGACAGGCTTGGTACAACTGAGCTATAGTCTAAACTTCTTAAAGGGGGTTATATAAGGGATTACATAGCGGACTACTAAGGGTTTTTGAGGGGGATACTAGGCATCTAGAATATAGCTCACGTCAGAAGCGCACATACCGCATATACCAGGTCAGGTACTCCGTGTCACGTTAGGGGGCTGGGAGTCTGCTGTGCAGCAGAGGGGAGACCCTTTAGAGAGGGGCTTCGAAAAACTGCTTATGGTCGGAGAGGGAGCCAATAAGAAACATGGTCAGGGGTTACAATACAATACTACCCCGCCCCCCAGAGAGCACAAATTCAGAACCCCAGTAGGCTTTTTCAACCTTGTAAAACCGTTCTTAACTATTTAAACACTAGGGAGGGGGTACCTCTGGGAGAGATAATATTATAAGGCCTGAAATGGTGCAAACTTGGTGAGGACCTAGGTCCTCCTCCCCGGGTTTAGGATTTTATTGGTTCCCATGGCTTTCAGGTTTGGGGCTTAGGGAAAGTGAATTTCAATAATCACTACCCCCAGTCCTTACTATCATGGCGCTACTCTGGCCCCATAATACGTGCGCACCCGCCAGCTAAGGCAGTAGTGAGGACTCGTCGAGATTATTGGGGATGATTGCGGCTTGTAAGGCTGTTAAAGGCTTATGTGCCGTGATCGGTAGTGCTGGTGGCCATGGTTCCAAAAAGTGATGGGTCCCATTCTTGGGGCCCCAAGAGTGAGGATTAGTATATTGATGGGGTCTAGATATCGGGGCCCTCCAATATTTATCTAAGCTCACGCAGCTCTCTTGAAAGTTCCCACTCTTCGGGGTCCAGGTTCGTCTGAGGAACTGACAGCAACCCCTAAACTGAAAGCCCTTAACCCTAAACTCCAAAAACTCAAACTCAAGCCATAGACCTTAAACTGCTAAACCTAAACTCCTTTACCTCTCAAACCCTCAACTCTAACCCCTGAAGCCTGGGCCCCAGGACCGCATGCCTGCGCCCTAAACCCTAAACTCTAAACCCTAAATCCTAGATCCTAAACCCTAGACCATAAACCCTAGACCCTAGACCCTAGACAATAAACCCTGAACCCTAAACCTGCCTGCGCTAGAAGCTTCTGTCGGAGGAGGCCGGCGGCTAGAAGCACATAAGACCTCTGTTTGGGGAGTTTGGGGGTTTAGGGTGTAGGGTCTAATGTTTAGGAGGGGAGTGGAGTGGAGACTGGACCAAGGCAGTAGCCTGGCCTAACAAAGGCCGTCACCTCCGGCCCGAAGGCTTAAGGTACCAGTCCGAACCATCAACACACACACACACACAACATCAACCAACATTAGCAACAACGGACGAGACGAACGAGCCCCATCCGCGAACCGACCGCGAACCGTGGGGATGCCACCGCGGCAAAAAAGGTGCCGCCACGAAGAGGTTGACCGCGAACCGTGGGGATGGCACCGCGGTAAAAGAATGCCGCCATGAAGAACTTGACCGCGAACGGGGGGATGCCACTGCGGTAAGAAATGGCCGCCACTAACCTTGGCAATGCCACCGTGGCCAAAAAAGCTCCGCCATGAAGAAGTTAAAGGCGATCCGTGGCGACACCAACGCTGTACACCAGCACTGCCATGAAGAAGTTGAACGCGAAACGTGGGAACACCATTGCCAAGAAAAAATACAAATAAACGACGCCATCAAGAAGTCGAGCGCGAACCTTGGCGTTGCCATTGATTGTAATGTCTGCTCCGGCACTGTCGCCCTAGCGCCGCCAGGGGGAGAAAGGGGGTGCTCGTCGAGCCAGCGGCTCTTAGTGCCGCCCAGGGGGGTCCTCACCCTTCCCAGCACCAGCTCCTGGCAAGCCTGCTTGGCCCCAGGGCTAACGTTTAGGGTTTAGGCTTTAAGGCTCTTTGGGGGTTAGGAATTCCAGGGGTTGAGGAGATTGGAAGGTCTAGGAATTTAAGGGGTGTTGAAGTTTAAGGGATTTAGGAGTTTAAGGGTTTAGGACGTCAGGGAGCTTAGGAATCGAAAGGGTTTAGGAGATCAGAGGTCTAGGAGTTAGGGAGTTTAGGAATTCAAGGGGTCTAGGAGTTGAGGGATTGAGGGGCTAAGAAGTCTGAGGCATTATGGAGGAGGGTAATTAAGGTTTCGTTGCCTGGGTTCTGGAGTTTAGGGCTTTAGGATTTATGGCCCAGGGCTTCAGGGCTTTGGGGCTTAGGTTGCGTTTATGCATTGTAGAACGATTCAGAACAAGTAGCCACGACAATAAGTTGCAATGATAGCAATAGCCCAACAATGACAAAAGAGTCAGATGCTGTTGCATTAGGCCGGATTGAGTGTTTGCTGGTTGTCGAACCAAGAAAGATTGAACAAACCCTAACCCTGTACCCTGAGCCCTAGTCCCTGAACCTTCTCCCTTCCAAAATCTTGAGCCCTTTCTGAGCGATTCGCGGCCGCAGCCTCGGCGCCTGTCGGGGCAGCTGAGGATTGGCGGTTTGGGGTTTGGCGATTAGAGATTTGGGGTTTAGGATTCAAGGTTTAGGGATTAGTGTTGAGGGTTTAGGCTTTAGGCTTTAGGGTTTGAGGTTCTGGGTATAGTATTAGGGTGTAGGGCCTGGGTTTGGGGTATTAGATTAAGGCGTCATTGCATCTAACGTGAGCTTGAGGGTTTAGGGTTAAGGGGTTAAGGGTCTGAGGGCTCGATGTTGGATTTCGGCACGTAGGCCTTGGGTTCCGAATGAATTATTTTTCAGCTGATCCAATACGCTCTCACGGGGATCTGTTATGTTACGAGCTGCTCTATCGGTTCTAATACCCAAAGACTGAAACCTAAACCCCAAACCCTTGGGTACTCGGGCTGTGAGGTTGGTTTGGAAGAGATCTAATATGTCATGGGCTGTCCTTTGGAGGTCTCCAAGTGCCGCATACATTCTAACGCAGGTAAGAACCTATATAAAGATGTATTGAACTTGATCAGCTCGCATATGGATACTCAGATGCATAATGAGACGGAAGTTGGTGCTCTATTAGGTCATGATGATTATGTGCGTGTTGTTCTCTTGGTGGCTGAGCCAAGTCGGACTGTATTCTTCTTATGAGTACTATAACCACAAGGAGCTCGTGATGTCACTCTGCATTGCTGGCTAGAGTATCCCCGCGAAATAATACTAGGCACATGGGGCTTCCGCCGCCGAGGTACAGGGCCTCCTCTGTCTTAGACGATACAGAGACTGTGTCCTTCTTGTCAAAATCTTGCAGGCTTTTGCCATGGTTTTCAATCGACAAGGCTTCGAGGAGTTGATAGAACGACTTTTCTGGGCTAGTAAAGAGCTTAAATTACTGCAAGGTACCGTGATGCGGAAATCTTCACATTTACTATAGAACCCGAATATGGTGACGAAGTAACTCCTTCATGGCAAACACAGCTTTCCAAAGTTAAAGGTTGGTACACGTGAAAGATTGCATCAGCGCTGTCGGTCGAACTCACCGAGGACATGGGCCACACGAAAGGGCTTCAAGAACCATGTTCATGCAAGTCAACCACATGCTCCATGGTCTAAACTCCTAGTATCCCCCTTAATAACCGCTGTAGTGGTCCCCTATAAAGTCCCCTAAATACCCCCTTTAAGGAGTTTAGATCCCAAACCCTAATCCCTAAACCCTAAACCCTATATAATCCCCTATACTATAGTAGTTCCCTCTATAATCCCCTATATAAACCCCTTTTAAGGAGTTTAGACTATAGCCCCTTTGCTCCACACCCAGAAACAGCAGACACATTGGTGGGCCTCGGGGGCCGTCTTGGTGCAAAACAGGCAATAGGACATGGACATTTTGATTTTAGGGTTTTTAGGGGTTTAGGGTTTAGGGGTTTAGGGTTTAGGGGTTAGGGTTTAGGGGACTGTTTGATTTTAGGGGTTTAGGGATTAGGGTTTTAGGGGAGGGGTCTTGGGATTGAGGGTTCAGAGTTTAGGGGTTCAGGGCAAAGGATGCAGAGTTTCAGTACTACAGAATTCCTCTTGCCGCCTAACAACCTATCTTTCCATTTAGGGCCCAGAAGCATGTACTCGGAACATGCACTAGCGTGCGGAGACGGGGGTCATAAATCATACCAAAGCAGACTGCTAGGAATTTGTTCAGCTCAGAATTGAAGGAGGTGAGTCGAACCTTGAAGTGGCTGCCTCTAAGGCTTGACCCCGGCCGGATTTGTTCGGGCTCCGTTCTATGATGTTGAAATTTGTGCAGCTGCAGCTTAATGCGGTTTACCTTTTAGAGTACCATTTAGCGCAGGTGCTTTGGGCCCCACCGCCGCCACCACGCACTTTCAGGGAATTTCTAGCGACTCCGCAAAAAGAGGGAATGTTGGATCCTCGTCCGTCAACACTGTGGCCTCAACCTACTACCCTCCTCTGCACTCAGGCAAATGGCACCAAAAGGGGCATGAAGCTCTGAAGCCAAAACTGAAAACCTACCCCTTAACCCTAAAGCTATCCGCAGGCAAAAACCCCAAGATCCCTTCTCCTGGTTCCTTATTAAGATAACATATCAACTGTTGCAGTCTCCTTGTATTCCACACTGCTTGTTGCTAATGCAAGCAGGCAGCTGATGGAATCGGCATTTCACGTGAGTTTGCCGAGCCGCGCTGGGGCGTAGGGCCGGATCCCAGCGCAAGCTTCAATGTCGGGCTGTTGGGCTACCACGGGGTTCTGGCTCCACCTCAAGATGCTAGTAAAGATAATGATATGCAGGTGCTGCAGGATGCTAGAATAGAAAGATGTTCAAATCATTGGTTTAGGGTTTAGGGTTTAGGGTTTACCCAGGTGTTTGAAACTAAGCACAAAAGGCTTTGTGGCGTGATGTTTGGCAGGCTTACATACCTATTAGAAGGCTTGTGCTTACATACAACTTACATCCGTTGCTGATTCCATTTGCTCGCAGAGCTCGGGGTCGTAGCCCATTGCTCCTAAGCCCTAAACCCCAAATCCAACCTATAGTCCCCCTTAAGTAGATAGAATATGGGGTAGATGGGGCTTATTATAATGTACCCAGAGCCATATTCTATCTACTTACGGGGGACTATAACCCTTGGGGCTTCAAGGGCATCCGATTCAACTTCCGGGGTTGGGTTTTGTCCAGCAACACCCTGATTTTGCAAATAAAATGGTTTGAGCCCGGTGGCCCCTGCGAAAGCCGGATGCCGTGGATGTGTAGAACAGCCTCTAAGAACCTATGGGGGTTTCCTCAAGTTGGAGGTACCCCTTTTCGAGGGTCCCAAGAATTAGGATTAAAGTGTATTGGGATCTATGTTGGGGTCTCTTTGTTGTGGAAAACTATCATATACCACCTCATTTCAGGCTCTCTTAACCGTAGTTGATTATGTGTTTGGCGGCATATATCGCCTATACCTCCTCCTCCCTCGAATTAGCTCCATGCGGAAACATGGCAAAATGCCTGAGTCTGAGACGTGACTTGCTGACCCTACATGAAGTTAGAAATAGCTGCATTGATACAAGTGGGATATCTGCTATTTTAGCTAGCTGTCACAGCAGTCTATGGCTGTACTGGTTCCGACAGCAGCGAAAATCCGCAAACCTCCAAAGAAAACTCATATTTATGGTAAAACCCAAAACCCTAAACCCAACATTACTGGCTTTCGCGCAACTTTTCCTTCCAAGGCTTTGCGTTGACATGCGTCTTTAAGACATGGCTGGCTCTGTTTTTTGCGGAGTTGGACCAACGGTTAGGGCTTAAGGTTCCAGGAAAGAGTGTGCATCCGAAACGCCAAAAATCTGGGCCTAAATATATATATATATATACCCTATTGTAATATGGTAGTTTCCATTTTCTTTTCCATTATCCCTATTAGTACAAGGTTTAGGGGCTATGTGGGTTCAAGGTTTGGGGTCTGGGAATTCAGGCTCATCGGTTCTCAATACCACCTCGAGCTCTTACTGAAACGTGGAGGAAAGATAAGGCAATCTTGAAGGAGCATTAATGGGAATCCCAAACTGGGAACCCCAAGAATATAGTAGGAATATCATAGAATATGAGGACCCTGATAGGTATATTGCTGTCATATTCCTACTATATTCTTGGGGTTCCCTTTTTGGGGTCCCATTAAACTCCTTTTAAAAATCTTGAAGCTTCCCCAAAGGCTGGTGGATAGGCGACAGATACAGAGCCATACAACAAAGGCCATAAGCACCTAGAAGCATATGCTCTTTATTTAAAGCTCGAAGTTACACCGTTAGACCTACCCATGAAACACAGAAAGTTAACCCTGGAGAATTCATGGAAGTGCGTCTGTCCCCGCAGCGCCCCCTCCAGGCACAAGACACCTTGAACCATAAAGCCCTGAGCCCTATGCAAAGCTGAGCACTGAAACACAATGGAGCTCAAGAATTTGCCGGCGTCATGCTTTGATTGAAGGAGTTCAACCCAGTGGAAGCAAAGTCATGTAGCAGCTTGCAGTATTGCTCATATCCTCGATCTATTACCATTGTCATGTGATACTCTAATACCCATGTACCTCCAGAACGTATTCACAACGAGTTTGACCCCTACATTAGTCGAACTATTCGCCTATTCGCAGAGATGAGAGCCAGAAAGCTCCAAGCCACAATCCGCAAATGATCATCCACACTTGGCCACACTTGGCATCAGAGTTCCAGGGAGGATGGCGCGCATGATCTGGCAACCCTCCAGATTAAGGTGTGGTGGGGCCTGGCGAACTATCAAGATGGCACTTCCTTCTCGAGAGCCGAATAGTATATGAAGGCTGTGCTATGGTAGCTTCCCAAAATAAGCGGACCC